TTCCCCCCCTAAATGCAGAAATTCACTTAGGATAAGATAAGAAATTTTGTATTTGAAAATAATTGGAATAGTCCAATTAAAGAACAAATCATATTTTCAAGCTATCGATTTTTATATGATTAGAGTGATCATCTCATTCACAATTTTTGTAATGATGTGATAAATCTAGAAATTTATCATCAGAACAAAAAGTAAGAATTGAAAAGATTTCAGAGATATTAACCATAGTATGATACTTTTAAATGTTGATGGGTTTTTTTTTAGCTCCACTTGATTCAGATTTTATAAATAAAACTGTGGTAATTAAGGAAGCAAAAACTAATATTTTATCAGGTTTGCTCTCTCCATATGCAGACAGATCCAAGGTGTGCAAGCCATTTATTTAAAGTTGCTGATCTACCTAGTGATGGAGACTGTTCTACCTAGTGAAGGCTGTTCTTTCCCAGTTACACCACAAGTTTATTACTTTGGACATTGGGTGCCAGTCATACTGGAAAAGGTGTACATGTCAAAAAATGTAAAATAGAATTCCTTTCATGCCTGTAGGTGTTAGGCCTTGCTCTTAAATAAAGCAGTCAGAATATATATGAGCGGTGAGTTAAACACATTGTCTTTCTTGAACTGAATGTACCTGAGAGATCGTGTTCTCCTTAGTCTCTGCTTTGTGTGTTGGTTAAGGTGGCTTCTTTCTTTTGTTTCACTTTTGGGTGCTTTCCATTTCATGATCAGCTACGTTTTCCCTATGGAGAAGCTAGTATGCCTAGCTTAAATCAGTGTGGTGCTGTGCAAAGTACCCGTGTGTTCCTGAATGGATTCACTCTGCCATCTGGCAGGTTAGTGAGTCGCCACGACAGATTTGTAATGGGAAAAGGGCTGTGCAGGAAAGGATGTGCGTGATCAGCAGATTTATAGATCAGAAAATGAAATCAGAAGAAAGAGTTTCCAGAGTGCCCTTTCCATTTGACGGCTCTCCATGGACAGTGTGGAATGGTCTTTTTACTGTTTTTCCAATTTAGGTTTTAGTTGTTCCAGCATATTTTTTCTAGTACAGGAGTTGATTTCGTGAGGCATCGTGTTCTGGTGCTGTGTTGATGTATTCCCATTCACAGAAATATTCTCTGTAGGATTTAAAGCTGTGCTGTTTCATGTGATAAGATCTGAGTAGCAATTAAATTCCTGAAGACACATCAAGCCTCCTATTGGCCAAAATGGGGACTTGCCAGGTTTTGAGTTATAAGAAGCTGTTCAGTGAGTACTGAATCTTTTGAAGGAAAGAAAACAAAAAGAAAAGCCGAGTGAGCTAAAGATAGTATGTCCTGGTATATTTAAGTCTGTGCTATCAGATACTGCAGTTACTGGCCACATGTGACTATTTAAATTAAAGTAAATAAAATTAAAAGTGTAATCCCTCAGTCTCAGTAGGCACATGTGGCTGATTAGTACAGTATTGGACAGTGCAGATAAAGAACATTTCCATCGTTGCAGAAAGTTCTTTTGGGCAGTGTGGGTCTAACTGGAAGATTTTGAGAAAGAAAATTCTTTCTTTGATTTCTATGAGGAGTTCTTCATTCCTATATAATTTGTTGGATTAGCACAGCTGTTCTAAGGTTTTAATGTACAAATGAATCATCTGTAGAACCTGTTTAAAATGTAGATCTTTGCCCTAGCCGGTTTAGCTCAGTGGTTAGAGCGCCGGCCTGTGGACTGAAGGGTCCTGGGTTCAATTCTAGCCAAGGGCACATACTTTGGTTGCAGGCTCGATCCCCAGCCCTGGTTGGGGCATGTGCAGGAGGCAACCAATACATGTGTCTCTCTCACATTGATGTTTCTCCTTCTTGCTCACTCTCTCCTTCTACTCTCTGCAAAGCAATGGAAAAAATATCCCGGGTGAGGATCCAAAATAAATAAAATAAATAAATAAAATGCAGATTTTAGACCCTTCCCCAGACAGGATTGGAGTAGTGACCAGAAATCTGTCCATATAAGTATCCTAGGGAAATCTGATGCTGGTAGGTGGTTTAGGAGCTACATTTTGAGAAATATTAAATTAGTGAGAAACGGGAATTGCCTCTCTTGATCATTTCCTCCCCTCATTCTTTCATTTTAACTTTCCTTTGTGTCCCCTGTAATTGGTTGTAAGCATCTTGTGAACCAACTTCTTTGGTAATAATGATTTTTTTTAAGAGAGATAAACATCGATTGGTTTCCTCCGGCACATAGCTGGAATGGGGACTGAACCCGCAACCTGGCATGTGCCATGACCGGAAATCGAACCCGAGACCTTTCAGTGCACTGAATGATGCAACAGAACTAGCCACACTGGCCAGGGCCCATTTCATCTTTTTAATGTATGTGTGTTTTAATTCGGTTCTGCCCTACAGAAAGTACCATTCCAGACTGTGTGTAGGAAGGTAATTCAGATCAGCACCTTTGACCACTAAGAGCTGAGCACCCAAAAGTCTTGAAATTATAAAGGAGTAAAAAAACTAACTAACTAACTAACTATATATATATATATAACACAATGATCTCCACTCTGAAGGATATTATACCTTGTTAGGAAATGGACAAATAAGTCCAGAGAAATGACTTAAAGGGTACTTAGCAACAAGTTAACAATTAGAAAAATAATATAGTAGAAACTAAATCCTGACATCCCTGAAAGGAAAAGCATGATCTGGCTTGATTGAAAATTATCTAGGTTGCTTTCCTTTGTATGATTTGAGAGTTTCTTATATAGATACCTGGCCTCTGTCATCTGGAATGAACAATAAAAAATGGGAAGGATCTCTAATTTGGTCCTGTGGTGTATCTGTGGGTTTTGGCAACAGGACCAGCCCAAAAGGGCATCTGGAAAACTAAAGAGACTCCTCAGAGTGCACTGGATTTAGAACTTCTCTGGGTGGCCCCATGATAATGGAACTGCATTTGCTTGTCACAAAAATGGAGGTGAAGGAAGTTCTCTTTATAAGAGGAACTACCTTTAGGGAATTTTAATTACCAGTATTAGAAAAAAAAATCTGTTAAGGTTCCAAAGAATAAAAAGTTTTCTTTTAAAATAATTGTTTAGCATCTTTCCTTGGAGAAATTGCCCACTAGCCTTCTCTGATGAACAATATTGAAGAGGTTATGTAGGAAGACAAAAAAACACTTCAGTTTGTTGCCACTATTTAATATTTGGGCTGGTTCTGTTGCCAAAACCCAGATACACCACAGGACCAAATTAGAGATCCTTCCCATTTTTTATTGTTCATTCCAGGTGAACAATAAAATTGTTCATTCACAAATGTCATCTGGAATGTTTGCTCTTTTTTCTTTTGTCTTGGTAGTTTGGTTAAACAATGTAATACCAGTAGCCATTTCACCTCTTCTCCTGAGAGTCAAATCTATCTAATTCCATACTTACCTATCCTTTCAGTAAAGAAGATAAAAAGTTTTCCACCTTTTCTGCAAGATGTACATGTTCTTTTTAAAAAGACACATTGTCTTTATACATATAAATATATATTTCAGACAAAAGGAGGGAAAGGGAGAGAGAGATAGAAACATCAATGATGAGAGAGAATCATTGATCGGCTGCCTTCTGCACACCCCCTGCTGGGAATCGAACCCATAACCTGAGCATGTGCCCCAACCGGAAATTGAACCATGATCTCCTGGCTCAACCGCTGAGCCACACTGGCCAGGCAAGACACATTGTCTTAATCCTTCTGGATTGCTATAACAAAAATACCATAGACTGGGTGGCTTATAAACAGCAAACATTTGCCCTAGCTGGTTTGGCTCAGTGGTTAGAGCATCGGCCCACGGACTGAAGGGTCCCAGGTTCAATTTTGACCAAGGGCATGTATCTCGGTTGCAGGCTCGATCCCCGGCCCTGGTCTGGGTGCCTTCAGAAGGCAACCAATCGATGTGTCTCTCTCACATTGATGTTTCTCTCTCCCCCCCTTGCACTCTCTCTGAAAAGCAATGGAAAAAATATACTCAGGTAAGGATTAAAAAACCAATCATTTATTTCTCACAGTTGTGGAGACTGGGAAGTCTAAGATCATGGCACTAAATTCCATGTCTGACAAGGACTTTCTGGTTCATAGCCATACACAGCTTTTCACTGTGTCCTCATATGGCAGAAAGGGTGAGGGAGCTCTTTTATAAGGGTACCAATCCCATTCATGAGAGCTCGTCCCATGAGGGTCAGTCCATTTATGATCTAACCACCATGACCTTGGAGGTTAAGATTTTAGCTTATGAGTGGAGGACACAAACATTCAGACCATACCAGACATATACACTGTTGCTTAGGTTCAGGCTCACAGTCTGCCTCCTTAGGCAGGTTCTTTGGCCTCAGGAAAATAAAAGTGATACTTTGTACTGTAGAGGACTTTCTCTTTCTTACCTTTACCTTATCCTATTGTCTCTGCTTTGAAATACCTTGAAGCTGACCTAAGATTGCCTTTTTAGTTGAGGGTCTTCATCTCTCCCACTGGTATCTGAAACACTGTCCTCCTCTTTCCTCTCCCCGTCCCTTTCTTCATACAGCCAGTGTCTTGATCAGGATGAGACATAGAGGCTTTCCTTCCAGGACACCATCAGTTCAGAAATGGTTTAGAACACAAGTTTCTTTCCCCTGGTGACCAGTTGGGTGCAGTGTGAAATAAGGGTAATGACATTTCCTAAGAAACACAAAGTCAGCCTCATAAAAATTAGCTGATACTCAAGAATTAAAACTGGTTTAGAAAATTTTGTTTCAAATTGGTGCTAACCCCCCCGCCCCCAGTATTTTATGATTCTTTTTAGGGATTTTATTGTTTTTCTGATTCTATACTAAATTTGCTTTTCTTCTTTTTTAAACTTACTTCTGAAGGAACCAATTTTGAATTGGAAACTAATGAGTATTGAGGAGGAAATGCCAGTTGTAAGCCTTTTTCTAGAAAAATACTTTGCTGAAAGCTTTTGTTTCTCTCTTTTGGGGTCCCTATTGTGCCAGGTTGAAGGAGTGGAGCCTTCTGTAAGACATGGATAGATGCAAACATGTAGGGCGGTTGCGGCTGGCCCAGGACCACTCCATCCTGAACCCTCAGAAGTGGTGCTGCAGGGAGTGCGCCACCACGGAGTCGGTGTGGGCTTGTCTCAAGTGCTCGCACGTGGCCTGTGGCCGCTACATTGAGGACCATGCCCTTAAACACTTTCAAGAGACTGGACACCCGCTAGCCATGGAGGTCCGGGATCTCTATGTGTTCTGTTACCTGTGCAAGGACTATGTGCTCAATGATAACCCGGAGGGAGACCTGAAGCTGCTGAGAAGCGCCCTCCTGGTGGTCAGGGGCCAGAAGCAGCACCCGCCGGGGAGGCGCGGCCGGACACTGCGGTCCATGGCCTCAGGGGAGGACGCGTCTCCACCGCTGCGCACTCCTCAGGGACAGCCACAAATGCTCACGGCTCTGTGGTACCGGCGCCAGCGCCTGCTGGCCAGGACGCTGCGGCTCTGGTTCGAGAAGAGTTCCCGGGGCCAGGCGAAACTGGAGCAGCGGCGGCGGGAGGAGGCACTGGAGCGCAAGAAGGAGGCGGCGAGGCAGCGGCGTCTGGAGGTGAAGAGGCGGCTGCTGGAGGAGCTGGCCAGCGCCCCTCCACGCAAGAGCGCACGCCTGCTGCT